GGGGGGGTCGCCGTTGTTCGCACATGGGTGGGGGAACGAATGTTTCCGATCGACGAGTCACGGACACGGTGCAAACAAGTCTGAGATCTCTCGGCCAAATCCTTAAGAATATTATTCCCGCACAAGATCACTGAGTCTTTCGACCGGACTGTAGCTTTGATTCGTTAAGGAATCCATCCGGAAGTCGTGAAAGAGAGACCGCGAGATACCTTTCGCGACTTCCGGTCCCCCCCCATACGTCAGCTCGAAAACCACCCCCTAAGGATACCACGGGACAACCAAGCGAATCGATACCATTTTCATCGGACGACACTTTCAGGATCCTTGCACCGTCTTGACCGAGTGTCCAAGGATCCTGAAGATCCTCGAGGGGATGATGCTCTCCTCGCTCCTTGACGACTCGCGGTTCGTTCGTCAGCTTCTCTTCGCACCCTCGGGAACAATTTTCGGCAAAGCTAACCAGGGGGAGGGTTGAAGAGGGGTGAGGGGGGGGAGACATATGCTTCAGTACCGAGCATCCTTCACGAGTAAGAACGACCCACGTGGTTTCCGGTATCCACGCGCTGCTCGCAAAATAATATTCTATAGGGGGAGAGAATGAAGAAAATTGTCCCTCGTTTTGCGAATCTGAGGGACTGAACGATACGTGCTGGGGAATAATTTGCGTGACTCGGCCGCGAACCAGTTAGCACCTTTCCGTCGCGGGGCAGTGACACATCGGGTAGCGAGTAGATAAAAAATAAAAAATAATATAATAATAATAGTAATAATACAATAATAATAATACAATAATAATAATAATAATAATTAATAATAATTAATAATTGTAAATAGTAAACATGCATGAAGTCGACGATCGCGCGGCTGACGGGCCTCGTGCGTCGGCTCATCCAACAAAATATATTAATACTATGTTCGAATAGACAAGAACACTACCGCAATCGTTACCGGTCGGTACAGAGAAATAAAGAAGTAGTGATGACGAAGTAGACCAGGGCGATCGGTGATGACAGGATGATGATAACGAACGATGAAAGTGATTAAGGTGAATGACGATGGTGACGGGGATGACGATGTATAAGAAACGGATATATCGGTAGGACGATCGGTCTGAGCGTTGAGATTGAACGCCGGTGATTGTGACGGGAAGAAAAAGAAAATCCTTACAGAGTATACGTCACTACAGACTACGTGGGCTACGATAACTACCAAAGAAGAAGAAAGAAAGAATAATAATAATAATAATAATAATAATAGCGGAAAGACGTTTTTCGTCGTGGAGTCATGGATCGTGGGACGATTGTTGTGTCCTGAGAAGATATTTTTGATGGAAGAAGGTAAGAAAATTTGTTTTAAGGATTTCTAGGAAAGATGGGATGACGGCGCGATGACGATGACGATTATTATTACGATAACGATCACGATCAGGAAACTCGTACGAATCGTACAATTAAATCGGGCGTTAAATTAGCATGCGTACGAACGTGCGTAATACTGCGTCGGGGTGCATGCCGACTGGGCTTGTTTTGTAAATATATATAAATATATTTTTTTTCTTCCTCGGTAATATTTGACGAGACGGGATGAGGGGGGGATGAGGATCGGGCACTGGCTCGAATTTGCACCCTTGTCAAATAAGGGGGCGGAACTGTCTGAAGAAAGTAAAAAAAGAAGGAAAACAGGGAAAACAAATTAGAGGGTTAAAGAAAAAAGAAAAAAAAAACAGAGAAAGGTATACAACACACGCGCACACACATAGAGGAGCAATCGCCAGTGGCGTACCGTGTGAAATTAGGGCCAGATGGCAGAAGAGGAAAAATTCTCGTACTTCTTGTTTCCGCTATTGGACTTTTCGTATGAGAAATTGTAAAATTCATATTTCATTTCTCTTTCTCTCTCTCTACCTTTCTCCGGCGCGTCTCTTGACCTTTTCGGGATTTCGCCAATTTGTTTTATTATCTGTCGTCTGGTCCGTTTTAGATTTTCTTAAAGTACGGTTACGCACGATAAACTTTTATGTACTGTGTGGGCGTGTGGTGTGTGTCTGGTGAGTGTGTGCGTGATTGGCTCCTCTGTATCTCTCTCTCTCTCTCTCTCTCTCTCTCGCGTGACTCTCGACTAAAACCTAAAACTTGCAACAAGAACAGTAAAGATGTAAATCGAAGAACAAAGAAAAGAGATAAGAAATTGGAAATTATCTTAAAAAAAAAAGAGTTAGAAATCGCGTGACTCTCGACTAAAACCTACTTTTATGTACTGTGTGGGCGTGTGGTGTGTGTCTGGTGAGTGTGTGCGTGATTGGCTCCTCTGTATCTCTCTCTCTCTCTCTCTCTCTCTCTCGCGTGACTCTCGACTAAAACCTAAAACTTGCAACAAGAACAGTAAAGATGTAAATCGAAGAACAAAGAAAAGAGATAAGAAATTGGAAATTATCTTAAAAAAAAAAGAGTTAGAAACATTGACAAAAAAATTGGTACGAACAATCTTCTAACAGTCCTTTTCGCGCGTATCGGCGATTCTCAATAATTAACAAAACTAAGGAATTCTACTTGGGCCTATACTCGGTTCGTCGTAATAATATATAAATGCACCTCGCGTAGCTGTATCGAGTCAAGTTACTCATTAAATGCACTTAATTGTCTAAATGAATAGCAACGTATCGCGAGAGGATTGGACTTTTTTTTCTTTTTTTTCTTTTTTTTCATAAAGATTAAAATTCTTCTTTATCCCTATCCATCATCTCTTTTACGCGTAAGTGTCCGTGTATAAGTGTCTCGCAGTTCGTTCAACTAGCATCGTTTGTCTCGTCTCTCTTTTATTCTTTCTCTTTGTCGCTGTTAAAGGGAAAGAAGAAAAGAGACTCGTACCTTACTTTATCAGGAGACGAGAGGCTTCAGGATATGCGGAGCGACACGAAAACGAATAACATAACAGTAGTACGTATGCGAACGATGATAATACGTGACGTGAGAGTTACATCGATCGGTGATTTACTTTTCGTTGACGTTTCGAATTTCGACGTCGGTACCGGATTATTTTCCATGGATCATTTAACATTATTATCATACAAACACCGACGGTAGAGAAGTTTTCACGTGGAGGAAAACAAAAAAAAAGAAAAAAGGAAACAGGAATTTCTTGGATACGCTATCATCTCAAAGTCAATGAGAGATTCTCCTGGGTCCATAGGGACGAGACAGGGACTCGATAGGAGGGTACGAAAGTGTCGAACGAGGAATTACCTCGGAATTTTAGGGCAATGGGAATTGGAACAGGGAACGGGATGGAACGGGAACGGACGTGGGAAAAAGTGACTAGCGGCGGCGAGCTCTACAACTAAACAACAACAACAGTATTTTCAGTTATAACAACATTAACAAGTAAGTTTTTTTTTTCCGTGTGTTTACGTGTATGTTTGTGTATATTACGTGTCTATGTAACGCGTGTCTCTCCCTCTCAGGTATTGCGTGTACACAAAAAAGCACGCGCGCGCGCCTCGCGACTACGCTAAACGGTTCAGAATTCTTTCACGGTGTAATTACTCATAATTCACCATATTGAGGATTTACAAAAAAAAAAAACAAAAAAAAATATATCTGCTGATTTCACGGGTATTTTTCATATCCTCGACTCCGACGCTTACTAGAATACCGAGAGAAAAAAAAAACAGTTTGGAAGTGGATCCAAAAAAAGAAGTGAAAAAGTAAACGAACATTCCCAGGAGATCTCTCAAATCTTTAACCTCTCCTCTCAAAGCTAACCACCCGCTCCTTAAACCGTTGTCCAAAATTCGTTCTTTACCAATAGCATTTACAAAAAGAAAACTAAACAATGTGGCTCTTTCATCGCTGTTCAATAAGTGTCGCCGTTAAATAAAAATTGTATTAAAAGGAAAAAAAAAAAGAAACAAAAAGGAAAGGTTTCGGTATCCTCAATTTGCGACGGGGAAACTAGTTCCTTGTGGCGGCGCTGCCGTCGACACTGCTGCTGCTGCTGCTGGGTCTTCGCTCTTGCATCCGCTTCCTATCATTTTGCGCATCTCCTATCTCTGTCTCTCCTCTCGTGACAGTACCTCGTAAATCCGTGACGCGTTCGCCGAGGATACTTTACTCTCTACATACCGATAGGCGGTACCTGCACGTAACGATAGATATACAATCGGTAATCCTTGCTAGCAAGGACCACCGAGCCGTCGTCCATTAACGCGACGTCAAAGCACTGCGCGTGCTTGACTTTACTCTCCAGAGCGGATACGAGTTGGCCGTCCTGGGTGAAGATGGTGAGATTGAAGTTGTTGTGATTGTCAGCAATGAGGATTTCGCCGGCGGCATTGATTCCCACGCCGATTGGATAATTCGTGATTCCCTCGCCGCCGATCTGCCTCAGGTAGGAGCCTTCGTAGTTGAAGACTTTGACGCAGTGAGCGCGATTGTCGCTTATGAAGATCTCCTGCTTGTCGTTCACCACGACGCCATTGGGGAACTCGAGATGCTTCGAGCAGCCAAACTTCTGCAGGACGTTGCCGGCTTGGTCGAAGATTATCACACGCATGACCTTGCACTCCACCACCACGATGCGACCTTTACTGTCGACCGTGACCCCACGTGGATGCTGGAGGATGTTGGCGCCAAATTTACGCACGAACTGTCCATACTGATTGTAAATCTGTATCTGGTGCGTAGGAGAGCGTTCCGTGACTATGATGTCACCGGAGGTACGCACAACGGCAACTCTGTTGGGATAGAGCAACTGTCCGTCCCTCTTGCCGCACTCGCCAAATTGAAACTTGAACCGGCCCTCCTTGTCGAATATCTGTATACGGTGATTGTTCGTATCAGCGACGATTATGTCGTTCTGCGCGTTCACCGCCACGCCCGAAGGTTCCGTGAACTGTCCCTCCATCACGCCAAACTCCCCGAATTTACAATGGTAGATCATTTTTTGTCTCTTGATCTGCGACTTCGGCGGGAATATGGCTGCGGACATGAGCTTCGAGGTTAGGTCGAGCACGGGATCCGTTGGCGCTGCTGGTCCAATCGGGAAGTGATCGTTGGCGGTTACAGGGAAGGCGTCGCTGCCGCCGTTGCTCCACTTCTCGTAAGGATTGTTCATTCCATTGAGATTGAGATCGCTGATTGTGGTTGAGAATGGACCCAGACTGTTCGCCGAACTGAATCTCTTGGAGATGACGTTGCTCTCGAAGGGCGACGGTGAGGTCGACGACGGGCAGGTAGAGTTCGAAGATACCAGACCGTTGCTGTACGGTCTGTCCAGGAGAAGACCCCCGAGTGATCCCGCGCTGCCCGGTCCGCTGCTCGCGCTGCTGCTGCTTCCTCCGCTGCTCGAGAGCGCCGTGGGTCTTGCTATTGGCGGCTGCTTGCTGGGTCCTGCGTTGCTGTCGCTACTGCTGCGCACGTAGCCAAAGGTGTTCCTGACGCCGACCTGGATCGCCTGATAGTTGCTCACGAATTCCAAGTCCGCAGAGTGATTCGCGATGTCTGGCGTGTAGCTCAGCAGCACCTGGAGCTTCGAGTCTAGCAGCTTCTTGACCATGAGCACCTCGGTGACGGTCGTGTACTTGGTCAGTCTCTCGACGAATTCGCAGGTCTGCTGTATCTTGTCCGCGGTCTCGTTGGCCTTCTGGGTGACGACTCCTAAGGATATCTGCTTCGCGGAGAAGACCGATTCGAGCTCCTTCAGCAGTTCCTGCTTACGTTCCTCCAGCATGCTTCTGTAGAACTGGAAGGTGTCGTTTATCTCGTTCTGTGCCTTGTGGTACTGAACCTGGAGTCTGGCGGCGCCGTGATCTGCCGCCTTGACTGCGGCCCTGATGTCGGCCGCCCTGGCCCGACCCTCCTGCACGGCTCGCGCCACAGCTTCCAGCTGCTGTGGTCCTACTTCGGAGATGTGAGCGCAGTCGTGGAGTGGTCCAGGGTGATCGGAAATGGTGCACTCCTTGCAGACGGGGACGTTGCACGCCCGGCAGAAGTACTTTAGTAACTCAGCCTTGTGCCGCGGACAGAAAAGGGCCTTCTCGCCGTTTCCGCCGTTGATCACCAGGTTGCTCTTGGGCTCCTCGAGCTTCGAGTCACCCAGGTTGAGCACCCTGTGACCCTCGAAGCAGTGCATAAACTGATGCGCCATCACGCAGTTTGGACAGAGGAAATTCGCGCAGTCGAAGCAACGCGCTATCGCGTCCGACTCCGTCGACTTGCACCCGGTGCAGCGCACGCCGCCTCCTAGGCGACAATGAGGACAGGGCCCGTCGCCGGGTTTCGCGTCCAAGCAGAGGTCGCAGCTATCTACGTCGCAGATCGCCGAATCGCTTGCTGGCGGGGAGCTGCCGCTCACTGTTAATGGTGACAGCGAGGCTAGGGAGCCGAGGGAATTTGCGCGTGATTCCAGCGAGGGTGTCGGGGAGGCCATCTTCAGTCAACCGGCATCCCTGAAAAATAGCAACAACAAAAATCATCATCGATACGTCATACGTCACAGCACGATAACAAGGTAACGCCAATAGTTATTACTAGAATACAAATAATATTACGTTTTTTTCGACTCGACCGACTTTACATATTTTTCATAGTACACCCTGTCTGGTGCTCTAGATAATATTCGGATGATCCGATGCACCCTGGCTGCGTCATTGAGGAAATACGTGTACGAGGGAAAGGGAGTGTTCGTGGCTGAGCACCCTTTAATTAAACGAACGTCTCCACTACCTGGATGGTTGCGCGACTGCGCGTATACGTCCTGCCGCGCCAAGGTCACCGATACGAAGGTTATCGGCCTCACACCTTTCTCTCGGCAGATCGTACCCAGGCAGGTATGGTTATCCGGCGTGTGTGCGTACCAGTCCTGGGAAACAGTGGGGAAGTCGGGACGGGAAGAAAAATAAGAAAAGTAGAGGAGTATTATGGAGGTACGAGACAAAGGATGCACCGGACTTCCAAGAAGGAAGATATACCACGGGGAGTGCAGTGCAGCAGCGCAGTGCAGCGAATACAAGGGATATATATCTCGATCGGGTTTGTCAGATAAAACCGAGGTGAATGGACGCCCGAGTGCAGAGCACTGTGGGACCGTCGTCTTTCCTGGGAAAGGATTCTACGTATGCGCGGCAACGACTTCGGGTAAGAGGTCAGGAGCGGAAGGGCCAAAAAGAAACCCTACTCGAAAAGCGACGACGTCTAAAGAACGGAAAAAAAAAAAAAAGGCGAATTACGCTTCAGGCAAAAACCTTAAATTTGAAAAATCACCATCTGCATTCTTCCAGTGAATTGGTCATAATGAAAACTGTAAATCCAGTAAAATATTGGATTGCGTAACAATCGTCCCCTGGGCTCTACCGTAAATACACGTACAGTTGGCATAGCCCCGGCGCGCAGAGTGGTATGAAAGAGCGACAGAGTGCAGAGTGCATACGGATAAGAACGAGGGGATGAATTTCTATAGAAATGGATGCAACTGCATCGCAATAGAAATACAACGCAGTAAAGTTTTGCACGTTAACGCGCTGCAGCAGCGAAGCGCCGGTTACAGCTGCACGGTGCGTGCACCCCTTCGATCGATGAGAGCCGTTTCGAGAGAGGGATGATGGTGGTTGTGCGACCCAGCCTGGCGTGGCGCGACTCAACGTGTTCGAGGGGGTAGGTTCATCCCTCCCCGCCGCCGAGTCCCTGGCTCCTCGCTCATATAAGGGGGTAGAGGATCGTCGACCTTGGCTCGCAGGTCTACGTGCAAATACAGTCGAATACGTGTCTGGTAGACGGTGTCTATCCAACGTTCAGAATTTCTCCTAGGCCGCGCAATAAGTCGTCCCTTGGATTCAGCACAAGGGCATACGGTGCGGTAAGACATTATGAAACGAAAAAAAAAAATATTTATAAAAAAAATAAACGAATGAGAGAATATTTTCTCGATTTTCGTCCACAGATTCGAAGCAATTTTTTTCATACAAATAATTTAGACCTCGTATGTTTAATTGACAGGGAACAGGCGTAGGCAGAGAGGGACTGACCAGACAGCGAGGGTAAATCGTTGGGGCCTTCGATTCGACCAGTCGCGTATTTCTCATCGAAGATTGCACTCTGGTTGAATGCACCGTAGCGAGGGGTGGCGCACGACGCGTCTCGTTGCCATGGCAACCCTGCATCGACCGTCCCAACCCCCGAAGGGGACCGACGAGGGCCAGGGAGACTATAGTAGAGGCAGAAGGGGTGGGTGACCACCCCTGGAATACTGGCAGCGGTGCATCGCCCTTCACCGGCTCCGTTATGAATACACTACCCGTCCCTCTGTATAGGGTGTCCCTGGAATATCGTAACCTTCGAAAATCATCTTGAAACACTTGAAGAATCTTTACGACCTCTGGAATCCAAATCTACCACCCTTAAAATCAACAAATGGACAAACGTAAGTTACACTGAACTTAGAACGTTTCCATTGCAGAGGTCAACCTCTTGGTGATAATTTTTTTAAATTGAATTTACGAATTTGAATTACGACGTATGTCGTATATTGTATTGCAGCATTCGCTGGAGAGAACGTGATATGCGTGTCCTCGATGAATGACGAAAGGAATTTTCATTACCACCCCGTAGATCGACCATGCACCAGCAATAACCCGGAGTCCCATGATTCTCGTCGGTGACAGCGGCGCAGCTCCAATGTCATTGGCGTCAGCTATTGTCGGATCATTTTTCGCCCGGCTGACAGATACAAACGGGTCTTCCATTTCATTAATATTATTCCGCACAGTGTGCCTCAATGTCTGATCAATATACGAGAGCGACGCGTGTTGCCGATGACGCGCACCTACTTCTACAAGGCCCAGAATATCCCGAGTATGAAGCTACAGGATTCTCCTTGTTGTATGACAGAGAAAATTAAACAGGAAGAGTAGTGATATATACATACACACAGACCCTTGCATACCGGAAGCATCTTCCAATGGGAATTGGAAATTATAAACGGAAATAATTAAGACAGGGCACTGAAACGATAATTGAATTTTTATCAAATTTAAAGAAATTCAGTATCACAAAATCCACTGTTAATACGTCTGTAGGTAAAATTCGTAGTTAGGGGAATTATTATTCTTAGATACGAAGGACGGGACTGGCGTGCCCGTGGCTCGAGTGAAGGGAGAAAGAGAAAAAGAGAGACAGAAAAATAACCTCTTAAACCATCTTTACACGCTCCTGACGTCACTACCTGTTGCCAAGACGACCGTCGGCCCGACGACGACGACGCCGAGGACCTTGGAAACATCACGACTCCGGAGACCTTACTATTTTACCTAGACCTTTCTTCTTCTTTTCCTTCATCTTCTTCCTCTCTTCGTCATAGAGAGCCTCATTAATGACAATACAAATTTCCTACGAACGCCACATATATCCACGTATATAAATTCGCCCGTTGAGGATTCCCCGATCTGTACCTGGAGATCATCATTTACGTAGGTTATATGCATGGTGAATCCGTAGCATGAGTATATCTAGGAAAATTGTATTCTTGACCCCCAAAGATCCGCCCGGCAGGGAAAAATCAGGTACACGTATATGGTCGAGCAGTCAGCAGAAAAATTTTCTGAAAGCGGTCCAAGGGTTCTTCAAAAGATACTCGTCCACTCTCATCCACGCGCTCATCGTGTATCCAGGCCTGTGTACACACTCTTCCGTATTCTCGGCATCTCCTTCGGAAGTTAAATTTTCGAAAAATTAAAACAATAACAAAATTTGCCATATTCTCAACATGACCGATTTGTGATACGAAAGAGGCTGAATGTGGTACGTTGTCACTGAGATTGCTAAGATACGTAACTCCAATGGGACATAATTTCATTATGATTTTTCGTTTAGTCAAATAGTCACGATCCAGAACAACGCACAGAATACACGAGAAAAACGCAACCAGAATCCAACGTAAGAATGAAAACCCTGAGGACACGCGTAAAAGCTGATCGGTATGCGTTAAAAACAAGCTATTATTGGGTGCTAACAGGAGTGACGAGCGATCACAGACTGTTAACAAGTATAAACGCCACTGATTTGCGAACAGAGGACAGCGGCAATAGATTTCATGGATATTCAGCCTGCTCATTTTCATGAAAATTAATACCTTGCTCGACAGAAAGACGCGAGTCAAAACGGATACAAATTAGACTTATAAATTTCTTTGGCAGATTTAATTTCCCATATTCACCGATTTATTAACATAAATCACATACATGTATACGCATACACGTCAACCACACGATTTGCAATATCGTAACGAATTAGCACGTGATCAATGTCCGCGTGCGCTGTCGTAAAAATATATCGTGCCAAAACGATTTGCCAATTTTCATATTCGAGTAACAACAATGGCGTAGACAAGAGTAAATTTTAAAAGAACCGAACGAGCTCGCACGGCTGAAGTGGATAATTTTCTAGAAGAGCTGAGGAAGCGTTCCTTACGTAGGATTTCAATTAATTCCATTAAGTAATTAATGTTTTTTTTTTATAGCCTACAGTCTGCAATTGGAAGGCTCGGTTCAGACGGCGTCAAGCGGTCGTTATTAATTAAGCAGACCTATTCACGATAACACAGCAGTATAGCAGCTGGTCGCGTGAGTGTTCGAGGTACGTGTATAATCAATCCTTATACGTGCGTATACCCCAGTCGAGCTAACTCAACCCCCCGGTCATGCCATTATCCCTGAAGAGGATAGAAAGGCGTCCCCATTGTCCTGAGGGATCAGCGAGATCCTTAGGCCGAGTCTAGAATTATTAGAAGGACTCACGCCCCTGTTCATAAGTCCTACAGGAGTTAGTAGATACGGAGTATACCTGCAAGCTTATATAATACATATACCATATGCGTAATCGCAAGCATACACACCCGGAAGAAGAGTCTCAAAGTTGTGCCGTGGGGATTCGAAAGGGAAGTGACTACTGACGAAATTTTGACAAGTGAAAACTTAGTGACAAGGATCAACCCTAAATATAAGGGTAGGTTTATAGAAACGATAACTCGTTAGATGGACGAATCCGATCCTAAGTGCAAAAAAGATTTTAAAGGTTTTTTTTTCTTTTTTTTTTTTTTTCATCCCTTGGCAAACTTCCTTCGAAGTACGTACGGTAGTTCACTCACGTCTTTGTTTCAGCCACCTTCCCGAGCCCTTATCTCGTTCTACTACCCTTCGCAAGCATGCTTCGAGCCGCACTCGTCAATTCAAACAGTTTTCCGTAGATAAGGGTCGTAACGTCTATAGGGTGTTCGCGAAATACGACGAAAAACGGTCACGTGAACGTTTTGACTTTATGGGGTATATTTAACCCTTTATACCCTTTTCTTATACCACTTACCCTCAGGGGGTAATATATATCGTGTATGTCCAGGGGCGAACATACTTTTTTTCCTTGGGGGTTAATGCACTCAGGTTGGTAACCGTAGAACTACCGTCGTCATTGCTAACTGGCAACGTGTCGCACCCTTAAGCGTTACTATTGGGGTTGAACAAAGCGGGCTAGGACTACCGGTGCCGTTCTTAATGGACGACAGAAATATTACACCGAAGCATGAGGGAACATTGTCGTGCCCACATATGTATACCTAAAGATTATCCAAGGTCCCAATAGGGTCGGACGCTATGTAGAGATTCTGCGAGTATAGGGGATGAATATGAATTTTCGTGGTTGTTGTATCTGCGGAGTGGCGAAATAAGAGAGGATGGAAGCCTGGTGCGAGATTAAGAGGAAGTGAGAGAGAGAGAGAGAGAGAGAGAGAAAATATAAAATAACGTGAGCGCTGGTAATTCGAGACTCGAGCCGTGGTGTAGAGGGGGGAAGAAGGGTAAGGGTGAAAATAGGGGTGGAAGAGAGTGTCGCAGGAAGTGAACCCCAGTGAGCTTGGGTGTCGGGAGAAAATCAATAAGCTTCTCGGAAAATGCCTGTTGGATTTCCAGACCGGAAGTGACGGCACTTGTCCGTAAATTCCATATGAAAAAAAAAGTGTGAACTTTTTCCAAATAAATTTTTAGTTCCTCGCAATGGGAGATGAAAATATCCTTTTTGTTTTTAAGATTCGAATAGAGAAAAAGTGTTACTTGGAGTGATTATTTTATATTCTCATTTCGCGTAATGTTCTCTGATATCGCATTTGACTTCCAGCCACCTCCGACACCCCCGAAGACCCGACAAGTTTTCGCAGCTTGAAAACCCGAACTACGCCCGGGGAATCTTTAAGCTCGGCCATTAGTCGTACCGAGTTTCTTTTGGTGTCGAGCGACGAGCGACAAAATTACACGGTGTATTTTCATGCAGATCGGGCTTAATGATAGCGGGTTAATGCGCGCGATAACTTCTCAACGTGCTGGATATCGCTTTACATGGCGCCATTGAAAATACGAGCAGGGGTACTTAGACAGCCTTAACTTTTCGAAAGGACCCGAGGGGGGACTCAGGCGAGGATGAGAATCTTCGAGCTTATTTCAATCCTTTTTTCTGAATTATTCAACTTTGTCCCGAAGCCTCGGAAATTTTCATCAAGGAATTTATATACCGGTGTAGAAAGTGAATTACGCGTCTAGAAGATTGGAGCACCCTTTTTCGGAGCGCCGATATATTAGTATATTCAACAAGCTACCCTCGACTCTCGGCAAGACGAGGGTTGCAGGCCAAATTAAATCGAACCTGATAAAGCTGCCGCTCGCTCTTATTGCTTTAAATTCGTTAAATTTTTTAAAAGTACTTTAATTCAGCAGTTCGAGAGTATATAGGGACGAAGTACATGGACTCGCGTCTCTCTAACGAGCAGAGTGGATCTCGACCCTTAAACTGTACACGCACGTAAAATGAAAACGGTCCTGCGCTTTTCGATTAATCAAAAGCAATAACCAATTGTCATCGTCAGTGACTATGTAATAATTTTCCAAAGTGATAATCTCACCCCTATCGTATATCCAAAGGGCGTACGACACAAGATTACCTGTTAAGATAAAAGTACAAAGTTCGCCAAAACTTTGGACCCTCGTATTGGCGTAGTCCGACTCTACCAGCCCTCAGCCCTCAGTGTTATTCTCTCATTCAGCATGAATTCCCATCAAAGGAGTGAAAGCTTTGGAGAATTGTTATCCATTTTTTTTGGGACCCAACTCCAGCCCTATTCCGTAAATCAACTACGACTCCTTTGCTCGATCGCGCCTACCAAGTCAAGCAAGAAAAAAAGAAGAAATAATCGCGGTCGGATTAGAAAGACAAAGTGAAGAAAAAAATTCAAGTGTACCGGACGTAGAAATAAAAGAAGAATGCATGGCCAGAATTCAATTTGGCTAATGAAAAATTCACCGACCAAATCCTACACCCAATCCAAAGCTAAAACGATTCATATGTACACCACTCTCCATATAGTTAGGTACCGACCAAATGGATTCAAGTAGCGAGTCCGTGAGTCATGACTCTGGAGTCTCGAATCGGAGAGTCCAGAGTGTTTCTGAACGTTCGCCGGCGAACAATGACGCAAGCAATTTGTTTTAATTAGCCGTTCGCCGGAGACGAGGACGGGTCGGGTCGTTTGCACGGTAAGTCTCGGGGATGCGGGACGCGGGGCGTCGACGTCACCGGCGACGACACCCGAGCACTTTTGCGATACGAGCGACATACAAATTGGCGAATTATCTACACGCTCGACCGAGCACGTATTGCCATTCCTTTGCCAAAGGTACGGACAGACAGCAGCGCGACCCGCCGCGCCTGGGTCCAGCCATCCTGAAATCGGGTCGGACCCAAACGCCTGGGTACCACATGGATCGGGATCGTACGGTCGCCGTACCCGTGCGCAAGAAACAGTTGAACCCCGTAAGGTTGAGGAATCTTTTTTTTCTCTCCAGCTTCCTTTCCTTTCACTTTCAGAAGGGCACAAAAAAAAATCCTCGCACGGCTTTCCCGCGGCGTGTCGACCTCTTCGAGGATGCTGGATAAACGAGCAGAGTAATGGTCCAGGGAGGCGCGAGGGTCTCGAAGTGCGGAAAAGGGTCTTTTCCTGCTGGCTAAAAGGGAAGTTGAATCCGCCCTCGTTCACGTGGGAGCTATCTTGCCCGGGATTGCCTCTATACTTTAATGAGGATTGCCGACGAGCTTCAGGAACGTCCTGCGGACAGTGGTATATAAAGAACGAGCCCACCCCGTAGGAATAGCCCAATGTATTCGAAGACGGTGACGATATTGGAATCCCCATCGGATGCAAAAAGTGTATGGAGTGTGTTATCGATGTGCGACCAGCCCCTCTTTCATTCTCCTGACCTTCGAAAATGCATCCCCGACGTTCCTAATACGACCGACGGACCTTTTTCCCCCATAACGCCGAATACCACTTCAGCAGGGCTCGTTACTGCATCGCGTCTCAAAACCAGCAACGCGAATAGGGGGGTAGTTTCTTCGTGACTACCCGGTATAGTTCATCAGTTTTCATGTGAATCCAATGTGCGCCCCCGCGCCAAGAGCAATATGGCATCCCCTAAATAAGAGGGCGTCTTATCTCAGGGTAGCAAGGGCTTCGCTTACCATACCCCTACTCTCCACCCCCTTCAGCCACCGTACCAAAGAATCCACGTTGAGACGTTGAAACGCCATCTTTTCATTTTTATTATCTATCAAGGGGCGCGGCGCGAACCCTTTAATGAATTTTTCGGCAAGGGGCCGCACGGGAGATCGAAGGGTTAACGAAGGGTGTTTCCTTTTATCGAGCTATAACCCCTGGACCTTGCGAATCCTGGCTTAGGTAACCGGATTCTTCTTGAAGTTCAGCGTATCTGCGAGGCATGATCGGCAATAAGCGGGACGCTGCTTATTTTCCATTAGGAAATAATTAAAAACGTTCGTTTTATCGTCGGCGCGTCCCGAGCGTGCGGCGCCGACGTCGACGTATAGTACGTCGAGACGCTCCGTCACTCAGGACTCACGGCAACTCCGTGTACACAGTTCGCTATATAAATCTACCTGTATATATATATATATATATATATATATACCAGGTATACTATACTCAGCCCCTACCCTCCAGTTCTGTATACACATATATACATATAACAACGTATACGCTATACATGACTGTACCACGTGTCATACGGTCACGAGCGTGTACCCTATATGCTTTAGCACGTCGTACAGGTCGTATGGAATATTTTGTCGTTTCGTGAGAACGCCAGTGTTCTCGGCGATATATCGTGTTCAATATAGCACGCGATAACCATTCAGTATTATACATACGTAAAGCACGTACGAACATCAGCATTCGGTATACAACTATAAAACCAAAATACGCTGTCGTCGATAGAGCCCTGCTCTCTTGACTCCGATATTACTTTCAAGCGACTTTTCTCGAAGCACCTCGAAACGAGCTCGTGTTGGGTGCGTATAAAAAATTTCCGAAAAAAAGAAAAAAAAAAAAAGAAAGGTCCATAAGGAACAAGCACGAATTTCCTTGGGTCCGGAACCTTATGAAACGTCTTCTAGAATTGGGAAATAATATGGTTGACCGTGCGGGTGAAAAGGGACGAGCGGCACGCTGGGAACGCTGCAAGAATGCGAGACGTCGAAAAGATAATAAAAGAGAGAGGAATAGAGGAGGCGCGAGTTCCCAGGTCAAGGAGCCAAGCAGCTCGAAGGAGAGGATAGACGCGTAAAGGAATAAGTTTGTACCGTAGGTAACGTATGTACCGAGATAAATGGGTTCAGTGATCCTGGTGCTATACCGATAGGTATCATTGATAATTGTAGTACCGGCAGATACTAGCTAAGAGAAGTATCAAAGTGGAAATAATAAAGGATCGTGAGCACACAGGACAGGGCCGTAGACATTGTGCATCCGTCTATCCAAGAAAATTTCCGTTCGTCGAGTGAATCTCTTGAGCAAAGCCGACAAAAGTCCCTCTTGTCTTGCTCGATACTATCCGGGGAATCCCCGAGGTACGGGAGACCGCCAAGTACAGATTGCCAGAGGTGAAGAGACGAGGAGAGGATTCCCCGACAAAGACGAGTTCCCTTCAGTTAAGAAGGGATTCCCATCGACACATCGCCGGAAGCGGGGCCAGGAACCGTCGGGCGGGGGTCTAATTAGACCACTGCGCTTAACAAAGGAACTTAACGAGTAACGAGCGACCAATATATTCTCTTGTAATTCAAAGACATTATGATCGTACTTACTTCTTCGTCCTGCCATTATTGCACGGTAATATATATATATAGATACCAAGTGTAAATATGTATACATGCAGGGGATCAATCCCTTTGAAATATTTCTGGTTACCCACAGCCCCTCGCGCCATAGCCCATGCACGTATATATTTTCCGGAACGAGAATGTATATCAACATATAAATTTCCTGGTATTATATGCCCAAAAGAGATACGGCCCTGACGCCATGGTACGCGTACGGCGAACGCCTTGGCTATACGGACAGTATCCATGCCCATAGCAGCATCCGCTCTACGTATTCTACAGTTCGTTTCATATCGGACTGCACGAGGATTCCTTTGTTCGGAGTAGCGTGCAATGACTCGGGGGCCCTGAGACTGGGGGGCCCCCTTTTATACCATGCCTGCAGTGTGGGACCAGGTGCTTCGTGTATATACATGGGTGTCCGTATGTAGATGATGCTACGACGCGACAGACACACCCAGGGACTCTGGGATAAGTAGAGAGGAGCGGCTACGGGGAACCGAGACACTCCCCGGAAACGGTGGATCGAGTATGGTGGAAACATCAATTTTTATGTAAAGTCAATTAACCGTGTAGTCAACGACAGGGTCATAGGTCACCACGTGCTTGGTCACATTTATAATAACGTTCGGTGTCCCGAGAACCTCTTCTTTTTTTTTTTTTTTTTTTTTCCTACAAAATTCGTTATTGCCAGACAGGGGTTACGTAGCGGTAGAACCTACATATACATATTAATAAAGGCCCAAGGGGTAGTTTTCGGAAGATCCAACGCGTCTCGTTTAGCTAAGGGATGAACGCGAGTACGGGCCTCCATTTCCGGAGGTGTTTCAAGAAGTTAACCGAGCCGTGTAACAACCCGGTAATACGGGTGTATACATATGTACGGAGGCAAACCCGTTTCGCAGGATTGCGCGACCGAAAACTCTCACCCTCTCTAGGCGAGGCCCATATACCATCCAACATAACTCTGCTTCCCTTAATGCATGCGTAACCCTGTAACAGCCACGAGACACATATTGACACCCGTGTACATACATACAGCAACTGACTTACTACCCCATTCGCCTACCACACTGGTTGGTTTCACGGGGGGTTGTAACGTTTCGCGACGAGCAATGTATACGACGGTTGCGTAACAACCCCAAGGCACGCGCCTCATGCTGGTTAAGTATGCACGCCATGCGGTAAATTAATGATACACCCCTGATACGTGCGGGGCCTGGCTCCCCCGGTAAATAGGCAATGCGTATACGTACCGACGACAGTGCACCATGAAAAATCGCACCAAGGACAAAAACTATCGGCAACGTACGCGCTTAGTCTTATGGTACTTTTGTATCCTTCGCCCAGTCAAGAGACTCACCTGAAATCAGAAGGAAAACAATGGCCTTTACTTTTTGTTAAAGTTTTACGTTAAATGCCGTGAAAAAGCGCAAGACACTTTCCTATGCCGTGCTCTTATGACAAGGTAGAATTTAATTGTAGCGGCAGACCTCACGTACGTCAAGGTCCGTGTAAGCGCACCGGGATTTCTTTATACACAAGATTGGTTCCAATGCACTGCCGCTGTGTGGCGCTGCAGTCAATTTCAAAAGGGGATGGATAAGAGAAGAAGTTGCAGGAGGATGAGAGGGGAGGGACGGGGGGGTGGCGGGGGTCAGAGAGAACCGTCGGCGAGAATAAAGTGCATCCGGCCAGGAGATAAATCTCGGAATGGATGCAGGGCATCCTGGCGGAGGTCTGGGATGGTAATTGATGCGGTGACGTCACAATGCCCCGACAGGATTGATGACCCTCGATTTCAATGCGCAAAATGCCCTCTTCAGCGCATTCAGCGCATAATCGTTTCCCATTTAAGCCGCGTCTCCGTTGTCTCCCGATACGGTGAAGAGCGCAGCGGTGGAACGTCGCGACGCGTAGCGCCGTACTGATTGTTATGACGCGCTTCGTGCAAGTTCTACGGTCGCGCGAAGCGGTGACTCGTAAATCACTGGAGGATCGTGCGCGTAATTTAGTATATACATATTGTTCTTCAACCCCCAGGGACATCCTACCACTTCAGCCAACTCGATATTGCGGTCGGTAATATAACAACGATTAACGGAAGTGCCGCTCGGGTTGACGACTTCCGGCGAGACTGACACCGACATACTCTCTCGATGTCGTACGAGAAACCGAAGGTACTCCTTGTCGAAGTATGCCGAGTGTTTACGCGAGTATACAGATTACACACTCTCTAACCGTATTAGTCTATTAATCCGGCGTGTACAGCGTGTTGCGCTAAATTGAATACATCCATCTCAATCAAGGGTTGTAAATAATACGGCATGAGACAAAGGGGTCAGATACTGGCAGTATCTATGGCACGTTGAGAAAACGTAACACCCTCTACCTATACCGTGTGGACGTAAGAGGGACGGACGGACTACAGCGATAATACTCCGTACAGCGAAGTGGATCCTCGAGTGGAGTAGGTCGTTCCTTCCGGGCGTCTTGCATGGAAATGCGCACGAGGAGCCTGACGTCACTGCGCAAACCACCCCTGTCACCGGTGAAGCAGCCTCGACGCCCTCCTGGCAGCGTGGTCGAGCCATGAGGAAGAAGGGTGGAAGAAGCCGAAAAAATAGAGTGACAAACAGAAACGACAAGGGAGAAAAAAGGGGGGACGGAGTGGAGAGTGGAAAAGGGAGAGAGACGAGTAATGGAGACGAAACGGAGAGTTAGCATGCCTAATATGCAGCCATGCTCCGTTTCCCGGCATTCCTAACGAGGCATCTCGCGAAGTAGAGCCATTTCGTTTTTAGCACTCCCAGTGCTCATCTTGCGCTAACCACGACACCACCAGGAACATCCACTAGTCAAAATTCCTACCATTTCAGATTCTCACGAGGGTAACAAGTCGGAGTGTGAATTTTTGGACGCGTTTGATTTTGTTGATGACCGAAAAAAGGAGGAAAAGGACAAAGGAAACTAAGTTGACGTAATAAAAGGGTGTAGAGAAAATATAAAAATTTTAATGGATATAGCTATAGCTATATATATAGAAAAGAAAAGAGGAGAAGATTCTTCCTATTCGTTTTTTATCTATACCCATTTTTTATTCACATATTTACTTTGTTATACACGTATTTTTTATCTTCTCGACTGCTCTACTTCAGAGTATGGCAGATGAGCACAGCGTCGGTAGTCGATGACTGGAGGCGTCGGGACGCCAGTATCTCCACAGGGACTTCACTCCGTCGTGGCTTCCGCGATATAGGACCTCGATTCTGTGTGAAACCAACCTGGTTTCGCCACGTGACGCCATATTCGACTTCCGGTCGCGATATCGCGATGTTCAGGTGTTCTCAGTCGCAGAGGCAATAATCTTCAGGGTTTCTCAGCCTATTGCGTAATATTACGGCGAAAGATTATTTTCGACATTTACGATCGATATCGAAAGATAGGTTATATACTGTCAAACCGATTTCGGAATCTTTCGTATTTTACGAGTCCTACGTGGCTACCTGTAAGTGCGAGAAAGACAGACTCGAGAAGCCTCACGTGCGCAAGAGAAGGACAGACGTATAGATGGCCTGAGTAAGCAAGCAAACATATACGAATCTCTCTCGAATTTCCTCTACCACAAGTACATATATACAAACTACCGTAACTTCCGAAAGAGAATATTTTATGAATTTTAAAAATATGCCGATCGAGGTCACAAGGTTGGCCTCGATAAGAATGATAAGCTCGAACGTCACAGTATTAAAAATCATAAAACGTATCCACGGTACAGGTTGAATTTTGTATTTGAAGAAAAAAAAAATGAAATGAATAAAGAAAAAAAAAATGAATAAAGAGGGTAGCTGAGTTACGTTCCGTGAATAAATACTTGATGCGCAAACTCCTATCAGTTACCAGATTTATTGCCAGCGCAAATCTCCCGGCCCT